AATCCCATGTATTTATGAGTCAATAACAATTTCCCACACCTTCCTGGGAGGCAGGCTCCTGTGTGAGATCATCGGTGAAGTGAAGACTCTCGTCCCCGTTCTCTTCCTGGCCCGTCACCTCCTGCTCCACGCTCGTCTTTCCTTTCTTCCCTTCGCGCTCCTTCAGGATAATCTGTCGTAAAACAAAACCAAAACATTTTGAACAAATGCCTTTTTTTTTATCACTTCATGGTTTTGAAATCTTTACAATTCCTTCATCATCGTGTTGTGCGTTAAATCGTCACCTTCTTCAGGGCCGTTGGTCGCTTCACCTTGGGAATCTCTCTCTCTTTTCCTCTCTTGATCCTGGGCATAGTGGAATCCAGGGTGTTGTGTGGAGCCGAGTAAGGCTTCTGATGACCCTTCAACAGAGACGGCAAGTTGGTGGAGCTGGAGCTGTGGAATGGAGTGGTCGTTCCAACTACACAGAGGAGAAAGGGGTGACAGAGGGAGAGAACGTTTACACCGTAAACAAAGAAAAAACAAAGAAAATCACAAATATAAAAACCCGCAACACTTGAAAACTGTGTACCCAGTTTGACAATGGACATCCATAAAGTGGAGAGTTATTTTTACAGTGAATATAAATGTGGACCTGTTCTCACAATATTGGGGAAAATGTGTTCCATATGAAACTTTTAAGAACTGAGTTTGTAAAACTGTGAAATAAACGATTTAAAGATGTTTTTTCCAAAGAAACTGCCTGTATATTTTTTGTCATTTTAATTTTTCTATTCTATTATACATGGACGTTCTTATGTCGCTAATGAGTATGTCCATGATAAATGATAAAGAAAAGTTTATATGATGATGTAAATTCAGCTTGAATTCGAGGCAGCAAATCAGGCTTGTGGTCTAAACATCTGTAGTCTTCATCTCAGAGGTTTTATGGTCAATGAAATATTTAAGGCTTAGTCACGTTACAGTGACAGGAGAAATCTGTTGTATTATTAAAACACCGTTTGCCAGTGCAAACTTCACTTCCTGACTACCTGCAAACGACAGTGGCTTGGTGTTGGTGAGTTGTCTGGCCTTCATGGCCTGCTGATGTTTCTCCAAAGCTGCGAGCATGTCTCCCAGATCCAACTCCACTGACGCTTTACTCTTCTTTCCCGCCACTTTGGTAAATGCCTCCTTCCCAGTGAGAAGAGAAAATTAGAAAATGAAAAAAAAAGAAAAAAAAAATCAGACAAATGTCAGATCAACACTGTGATCAACAGAGGTGGGTTTTTTTTAATTACCTGCAGTTTCTTCTGTTCCATGCTGATTTCAGAGTACTCCTGTGCAGTGGCCAAGGCCGCAGCCAGAGCCTTCTTCCTCTGGCTCTTGGCCCTCTTTGGAACAGATGTAGTGATAGGGATGGGTGTCTGCACGATGCTGATGGGGGAGTTTTCTGAAAGGTTATCCAGCTGTGGAGGACACAGAGACTGTGATGAGACGTACACACAGCACAAGATTTAAACCCATTTCCAAGAGCTTTTTTTTTTCATACCAGGTTTTTGGGCATCTTAGGTTGTGTGTGCGTCTGGGCCGTTGCAGATTCTGACTTGATGGTGCGTTTCACAGCTTCTCCAGAGGCAATATTAGGAAACTCATCTTCATCCTGACACAGATGCAGACAGCAGTTGGTGCAAAGCACAAAAAAAAAGAAAAAAAAAACGAAAAAAACAAACAAAGAAAATCTCTGCCTGTCTTGTAGGTATAAAAGTGAACAAACTGCAGTGATTACAGTCATTATAAGTTAGCTACAATAAAAACCTTCACCGACCTCGAAATACAGAGGCTCTGGAGTGAGATTTGAACCAGTGACTGCGAGCTGCAGTCTTTGTTCTGATTGGTTGGCTGGTAAACGTCCTGGATAACCACTGTGGAAATCCTAGATGACAAAACAAAGAGAAGTCAGACAGGATACAACAACATTATGAACATTATTGCAAACTGTATTTGAAAAATCCAATGTTTTGAGCAAAGGTATCGAAAACTGTTCTTCAGACCTCGTGGCCTCGTGGATACGTTAGTAACTCAGTAACTAACAGCACACCTCATGGCTTTGTTTTTTTATTTGAGATAAACTCCAACTGGAGGAGGAAATAAACAGTGCCACCATCTAAACTTGTGGTGCAACATTTCTAAGGATGACGGGGAATGTCTTACCGCATACAAAACATGCTTAGATTTTGGTTTGCACACAATTACCACTGAGGTTATTCTGGATCACTGTGTGTGTGATTTTGTTTTGTTAATGTAACAATAGGCAGATAAATGCAAACACCTGATTAACATCAGGTGTCACCTCCAACATCCTTAGGGTCCTTTTAGAAAAGACAATAAGTCTTTTGTAAATTTGTGAATTCACCGAGGACAATCATGCGATTAAATCGATTGACAGGCTCAAAGACGGCAAAAGATGCCAGAGATTGAACAACAGAAGAAGGAGTTTGAGTCGAGCCCAAGTCCAGTTTATACCTTTTAGGACTACCAGACAGACAGGAATCTACTGTACCTGGGAGAAACTCCTCTGTTCAGGGTTCTTCCTCTGGTCTGCTCTGTAAAACTGGCCGTTCCGGTCGCCCCAGGACTTACTGGAAGTCTGACAGGGTACATTCACCCATGAGTCTGAACCTAATGACAAGCAAACAAAGAAAAAATTACAGAAAATTATAAGAGTGCGGCTGCAAGGTAAGAAGAAAAACCTGATCTATTTTCACTTACCTGTCATGACACCAGTCTCTACGACCTGCAACACACATAAATATAAGAAATTATGACATTGATGGTGATTTTTGACTTCTTCTTGTTCTTTTTGTCCAGGAGTCACTGCAGCAGACTGTTAGGGAGGCATTCTCACAAACTGAAATGAGCTCATTATTCTCTTCATTATAATCAAACAAACAAAGACTAACAACAAACAAAACCCACGAACGATTATGTGGGTGATAACCTTCCCCTATTAATGTGTTTGAGGTGTCACTCATTCATTTGTCAAATGTACTCGAGTTTTCACTCAAGGCATAAAGTACGTTCCTTAATTTAATTCAATGAAGGAATCAGAAGAACATGTTCCTCATTCTCACTCCACCTCTGAGCCTCTGAGTTGAACCTGCGATGCCCCAAAATGAGGTCCTTTTACTGTCACTTTGTTTAAACCTCTGCCTTGAAAAGTCATCAGACGCAGCACCAAACAGGCATGAAGGAAGTGCAGTGTGTTAATGATGAACACACAGCCAACATACCGTGGGTGCTGCAGTGTTGTGTTCTGCTGTTCGTTGTGTAACTCCCGCGGCCAGGTTGTGTTTGGGGCTGCAGTAGCCGCTGTCACTGTCAATGTCCGCCTCACTGGCGACCTGCTCACTGTAGTTCTCTGCCGCCTGCGACGGCCTTCGTCTTTTTGAGCGGTTCTTCCACAGGAGAGGGCTGGCCTGCTCGGCTGCACATCGACCTGATGTCTCACCTGGGAAATCTAAGGACAAGAGGAAACAAGATTCTCTAGACCTGTTTACAAGGACAACAAGTACTACAGTCTTACTACACACAAAAAACTAGGACGTTACAAGGACAACAAGTACTACAGTCTTGTGTACTACTACACACAAAAAACTAGGACAACTATATAAGAACCTGAAACCAGGACAGGTGTTTCAAGTGCAGATAAATCGATGGTTACCTAACCAAATGCATATGTGGAAACTCCACATTCCAGTTCTGTCAAGAAACAGGGCTCAGGCGTCGTCAACATTAACCAGTAGGACCAGACACTGGCTTTATAGACACTGTGTCTTTCAGTAAAGATTCTGGTTGAATGGCTACGCAGGCACTTTTTACAAAGCCTTACTTCTGTTAGTGTGACGTTAGGTTAGGTTAGGTTTATTTGTTTAAATTTTAATGATGGCTGCCACGTTTTTACCGGTCTGTTGTGCGGCGTCCACCAACAGGACAGTTTTGGTCCTTCCGTCAGGCCCCAAGGTGCACACTTCCTTCTGCACGGCCACGTTCCTGGTGGGAGGCCTGCGACCTCGTGCAGGCTGGCACACACCCAACTGTGGCTGCAGGAGGAAAGACAATGAAAGTTGTGGTCACCGATTAGCCTAAGAGGGCAGATGCATCATGGGAGATGGCATGTATCTCACATTTAGCACATTTCCTCACCCTGTCAACATTTAAAAAAATATTTGTTTCTAATTATTGTTATTGTCTTAGTTAGCTCCCCACGGGGGTCACATTCCCTACTTTGAGAACTATTGCTCGAGAAAATATCTATTGTAAATATTTCCATTTAGGTCATTAATTCAACTTATTTTAAAAATCCATTATTTTGAAAATATACATGTATATGTGTGTATATATATATATATACTGTATATATATATATACACATATATACATATGTGAGTGTGTTTTTCAAAAAAATAATTTCCATATATAAATAAATATATATTCATATACACAGTATATATTAACATGAAGGTCTTATTAAACAGTAAATATATATTCAATTGTCTTTTTGGCAGTAGAGTGTGGTATAATGAGTCATATGTGACTCTCAGTCTGTACCTTGGGGAGAGAATTTGGTCGGACCATGCCTCGGCCTCTTTGATTGGTCATCCCATATGCTGGCCCCAGAGGGAGTGGTCTCTCCCCAACCTCTGCAGAGACTGGGTTGATGACTCCGGCCTGTACGGGACCAGCGTAGGTTCCGGGGAACGGCTGGTAGAAGCCCATCATAGGAGGGCACGGAGCGGGCATGATCTGGTAGTAGGCGTACTCATTGGACACGGGAGGCTGAGGGGAGGACAGAATGGGATAGGCCAAGTAAGGACCACCGGGGTTAGCGTTAGGCTGCTGCCAGCGCAGCTCCCCTCCATTGTACATGGGATGTTGCCTGTGGAAAAAACAAAACAAAATGGGCCTGAGTCAGGCTACCCTCAGTGACATCACTCTTGTCATGAGACCTTTAATCAGTGAGTAAATATGACCGTTTGATATCCCTAGTGTAATACATGTAATGAATACTTGAAGATTTTGACACAGAGTTAAAGGAGTGAGATGGAGACAGGGTGGACATGGAGATTGTTGGTGTAACAAGGAGGAGACGGGGGAGACGGAGGGGGACGATCTGTGTGACGACAGATGAAGGGAACCGCCGAAGTTGAAGGAGTTGAAGTCAGTGGGAGTAGTAGTAGTACTAGTGGTTGTGGTATTACTAGTAGAACAGGATTTGCACTGAAGATGTTTCAGAAAAAAACTGTGACATGATTCTCTCAAATGTGTTAGTTTGTCTAGTTAAAGGAATGTTTCCAGCGTCTTGTTGAGTAAAATCAGCTTTGAAGACCAAATAAATCCAAACTAACTCTAAACCTAACTCAACCTAAACAATAACTCATTAACTTGACGTTACTTCAAATATTTTCTCCATAAAAAAACTACTCAATAAAGTTACAGTCACATTACTGTGGAACGTGATGGTTCTAATTGTTAGGGAGTGTCACATGTATCCAGAAATGATAAGGACCCAGATGACATTTTCACAGGCACTTCACTACACTGGGTTATTTCCTTGTATTCAAAACAGTGGAAAAGGAAACAAAGGAACGGATGTGAGCAGGATACAACAGATCACTGAGGACAAAGACAGAGTTACTGCGAACATGGACCGTGGTTCCGTAAACTCTGGGGAGATTTCCATTCATAACTAAGAACTTTTTAACAACAGCCCAATCAAATGTCTCCGACTCTGTTTAAAAGGTTTGAAGAACATCACTAGGACTAAAGGGTTCTTTTGTTGTCATCGGAGTCCACAGAGGAAGGAAGACAGAATCGGTACCTGTTGGCTTGGTTCTCCTGGACAAATGGATAGCAGGTGATTAGGTAGCTGGGTATAGGAGTGGTTTCCACGCCTCCTCCACCTCCGCCTAAACCTCCACTGCCACCTCCTCCACCTACGTCGCCTGAAAGACTCATGCTGACCAAGGGTCCTTCAAGAATTTTCTTCTGCGGGATAAATGGTTCCACTTCAGCTGAAAGCTTTACATCCTGCAGAGACAGATGGACAAACAATACTGTTGTTGTTCTGAGTACACCAGAGAGTTCAACAAAAACAAAAAAAAAATCTGTTGTTGTTCTGAGTACACCAGAGAGAGTTCAACAAAAACAAAACAAAAAAGAGAATGTTTCTCAAGATAGATAGATAGACCAAATTAAAAACCATAATCATGTGGTCATAATCATTTCAATCAGTATAATTTCCTCTTCTCCAGAATATGACATCTGTCTTTAAATTACTACTTGAAAATTGAAAGAGAACCGATGATGAAATATGACATGGGCTGCCAAAATGAATGGATAATGTGAGGGGATTGTTGCACCATTCGTCGGAGATATGGAGACATGTATAATGTTCACTAATGCAGAACATCTGCAACATTTACTGACGTTCCCCGCAGCTAACAGGCTCTCCAACTAGTCACAGTACGGCACCTATGGGAACATGCTTACAAGTTGCTGTGTTCTCCAAAGATGAGCACCAGAGTGTGACCATTTCAAGTGTTCAAGACAATGAAGGTTATTTACTCACCTGTGTTTATATAAAAATAAATAAATATATATATATATGCGTGGACTCTGTTAAAGGCAGCTGCAGTGATGGCCTGTGTAAGGACACTGGGGACATCCTCACAAATTCCAACTGCTTGTTTGTCTGGTCCATGTCCTTTTGCCCTAATACCTGTCACAGTGGGTTTGTGTAATTTGACTCTGATCCTCCTTGGGTTCACCTCACTTGTTGAGACATCGCGCCTCTACGCGCTGTAAAAAATTGCAACTGCGTCAACGTTCAGGCCATATGTCAAGGATCAGCATATATCTGCAGTGACAGAAACTCGTTTGTTGAGCTGAGCGCTGCATTTCTGTATGCTGCTCCTGCAGGTTTACAGTCAAGTCTACACTGGGTTTAATTGTTAACAGCCTAGTTAGACAACTAGCTGCCAAAAAACAAACATTAGGTCAAAGAAAGGCTGGAATCTTGAAGCTCTCAATTGATACAGTGGGTGAGCATCTTGAACTTTAACTACTATAGTTAAACTGGACACAAATAAAGTAGTGGGTGGTAAATTCTGCACTTTAACCACTTGTGGGCGTGTCCTATTGATAACATTTGATCTACAGACAAGAGGGCTAGGTAGGAGGGAAAAAACTGAACAAGACAAACAGAAAGTGAAATAATCTTTAACTCTGCTTTAACATTTTTTATTAAATCCTTCCTTTAGTTTGGAGCTTGATGACTCAAACACATTAAACCAACAACAAGTTGTTGTGGTGTTGAAAATTCCATGACAGGCAGTGGAAAGGGCAAAGATGAATGTTTTCTGGCAGCAGAAAACAGCAGCACAACTAACTGCTGATCCGTCACTCCAACAAAGAGGGAAGTCTAAGTCTTTCCATAAGAATTTAAATGTTAAAATCACAACACAAAAACATTCCTTCACACTGCTTAAAAAAACAAAAAAACTAATAATAACAGACTTGCACCTGCCAACAGGACCCTATATAATGACTCAAATCTTCACTAATGTACCGTAAAGGGCTGTCAATACTAAATTAAATCATTTCTGATTTATCACCACGGTTCAGAGCCAACTAGATGATTAAAGGCAAATCAATTGTACTTTCTTTAATGTGCTCCAAATACTTTTAGAAGAATCTTGTCAGTTTGTCAGTTTCATTATGAATAAACAGTTTCCACATGAGTTCTGTTTCAGAGAATAGGGAAGAGTAGCTGATGAGGTTACAGTATCAGATTAGTTTTGTCGGGACCGTTCATGTTGAAAACCGAACGAGTCCGATCAAGTCGGCCGATTGGTGGATCTCTGTTTATTATTTGCTGCTTAAAAGACAATCTTGTTCCAAACATTCAGATGTTACTGTAACGTCACTTCATTTCTTTCGAACTCCTCCATCTACATAGCATGTCAAAACATCACGCAAAAATATTGTAGGGCTCAGTGGAATTAGTGTCTCTTTGTTAAGGTATCTTTATATAGAGTTAGAGAATAGAAAAGAAACAAAGGTAAAAATCCTCATCTCTTATTCTTAGCAAACACTTCACATCTACGTGCAACTCAACTTGAACTTTTGTTCAGTGTAAGATGTGGAGAGGTGACAGAGTTCAGAGGACAAAGACAACCCCCTCAATTTTTCTGAAACAGTGATCGGGATGCATGAATAGCGTAACAGTGCAGCCATTGGGTGTCACACAGACCGTCATTGTCTACCACCACCACTACTGACTGTGGGTAGAACCCCTGTTTTTTCCATTGGCTGTTCATAGACGCCATCCTACCTGAACAGAGTCAGGGTGAGAGTTGAATCTTTACTGTCAGTTCACAATGGAAAGTGAATCAACCTATTATCTCATCTCAGTACTGTATACATAGCCTATGGGCTGTTAAAGGATTAAGCACAAGAGGACGAGGCAAGGACAGTACTGTAGGATAAGCCAGTTAAACTAACAGCAACATAAATACATGTAAAGATTACAGTTTAAATTGACAGACGACCGAAGAAGTAAAAAAAAAAAAACGCCAGACAGACGTCCAATCTCTCGCAAACAACCGTTGGTCTTTGTGCATCTCTGTGAGAACAGTGGTGATTGTTAGAAAGACAATGAGGTCAGACCCAGATGTACATCCGCTGACAACGATAGAACTCAAAGTGGTTCAATTGAGGACTACTGATCTCACAGGCCTCTGTTGTCCCAGTTTTCATTTCACAGCTATTGTTTACCAACAGGAGTGTTTTTTGGGGCTGTATACGAGGGTAGACCCAAAGGTTCGAGGACAGATGTTATAATTTTACATTTCTCAGGCGTCTTCAACAGCTTTGACAGGTTTTACCATTACATCCTTGTAAACTGTTGAGGGATGTGTGGGAGAAATGTCTGTAAAAAATGACACGTCTTGCTTGAATTACAGTCTGGTCCATCTACCCACTGAGCCAATGCAGAGCCTAGAGCTCAGCATTTCATGGAAAGTACACATTAAAGATAAAAAAACATTCAGACCATTAAAGATAAAAAACAATTCAGACTCATGTTCATGTTTACTTTAGAGGAAGTAAACTAAACTCACATGAGCATGCAAACTCCATAGAGGTAAAAATGGGGATCGAACAGGTGAACTGATGATGATCTTTTCACTTACAAGTGTGTCATTGTCAAAGAAGCCTACAGTTTTTCCAGGTGCTAAAGAACAATTTCACTGATAAATTTAGAGTTTTTTCGGGTTAAAAAGTCCTGGTAGGTTGATCGTAGATCAATGCCTTTTTATGCTTAGATGTGTGACAGTTGTGAACGAGACTTGTGTCCTGCAACCATGTATTGTGAAAACGTGAATGGACGGACCAACAACACGAGGAAGTAAAATGGAAGATGTTCCTTTAATGCAGTGACACACTTTAGTAATTACTAAAGAGACGGTACAAAAATAACTGCGATGGTGAGTCCCTGAAGAAGTGGAGAAAAAAAGTTATTCCCCTGCCACATCATGCTGCAGACACCTCGTGCTTCTTTCGTGTGCTGATAATTGGGTAAAGTTGTGAGAAGTCAGAAAAAAAGGCATTGCCAAGAAAACCGTGTCAGAGTGAAAATGCTCTGCTCTCCGTATGAGCTGATTTAAGCTGCACGCCAAAAACCAAACTTTCAACATAGCACACGAAGCCCGGGTGGAATGTCATACATGCAGAAGAACCAGACATTCCTCTTGTGACGGTCATGAAACCTCTCTTCCTCTACCTTCACTAATCTCAACTTGATGTTCCTCGCCGTTTTTTTTCCTCTAGTGTTACCGCAGGGATGTTAACATCATACTCACCGCTCGCATCCACACAAAAACACCACCACCGTCCAGTGACAGCTGAGACGTTTAGCTTTAGCTAGTTAGCTGCCGAAGCTAAAGAAAATTAAACACAACACTGCTTTATTATTGTCTCAACGAACGGGTATTGTGTCATTGTTAAATATACAAATAATTTGGCATGAAAGAAATAAAGCGAAAAACGTGCACCACGGCACTATAGCTAACGTTATCCGCTATCTCTTAAAATGAAAACTGACCACCGTTAGCTGCTGTGATCTTAGCACATTAGCTGAATGGAACAACAGTGTCACTGCCTTTTACCCAAACATTGAACCGTGTTGTTCTTTCATAACGTCAATAACGACACAAAGCACAATTCCAAAAGACGCTATCGCACTAATAACGGTTCCGTAACTAACCAAGTCAAAATGGTGTCTTGGCAAGTTAAACTAAACCCGTGATTAAAAAAAAAACATTCCATCCGCTAAATGCATTATTAGCGATCTCCCAACAACAAAAACATAAACGTACCTTAGCGTCCATGTCACTCAGCCTCGCTGACCGCAGTGAGTGAGGACGTCAGGATGTAGGTCTTTTAGGTTTCTTCATTGTAAACAAAACAGTAATAGTAGTGTAAAAATGACCGACGCCTCGCAGTCAGAGTCCGCGGCTATTTGTTGCTATACTCGGCTGCTGCTGCTGCTGCGTCAGCTGTGAGCAGAGCAGGCTGTGGATGAAGCTCTGCTACTGCTGAGGCTGAGACAGGCACGAACTGCTGTCAGTGTGGAAATGGGAGTCACCTGGAACGGAAGCCGACGAGACACAAACACGGCTTAGAATACAAACTGTTGAAAATGTTTTGGTAATTAAAACGTTTAATGTGTAACATTGTTCATATACACCTTATATACACCTTATTATTATACCTTAAATATTTTTTTAATTCCCCAATACTGAGTCATTTTACGTCTTTTCTATTTTTTTATACCTAAACCCACAGTAAACCACGGTTTGCGTTTTAATTCTTTTTTTCTATTCACCTTTTCACAGAAAGACTATATATCTTTTTAAAATATACCCCCAAAGATGTCAGGTATTATTATACCTTAAATATTTTTTTAAATTCCCCAATACTGAGTCATTTTACTTTTACGTCCTTTCTTCAACGGAAAATTAACTTATCTTATTTTTTCTGTTAATGCAAATATGGTCTTGACATAAAATAGAAAATATTTTGCCCAATTTAAAATTACTATTATTATTATTTATTAATTATAGAAAAAAACATTTGTTTCTTTGCTATGCCATATTGCATTAAATCTGAGCCTGGCCTCTTTGTTTTTCTACATTTTAATTATCTCCTAAAAATAATAATAATAATACAAATGAATGTTTCTCTGAAAAATTCTAACCTTAATGAACTGAGGAGTGATTTTGAATATGTCTGACGAACGATGACATCATACCCCAGAGAACAAACATTGGGGGAAGGACGTGGGGAAAATGGGTTGTTTATGTACTGTACATTATCATGGTTGAGTTGCAGTGGAAGAGGCAAGAGGTAGGGGACAACAAAGGGAGATTATCATCTATGCAACCACAATAAACATGAGCATCAATTAAATGTTGTTGCACTATAAAAACGTGAGCCTCTATTTTCTTTATTATTTGTAAAGCAATTTATTCCCCAACAGAACACAACTGAAAATCAATGGCATCCAGTAGGAAACAATAGTGTCTGTCCACTGTAATGGATGTGTACATCTGCATGCCGTACCAAGTGCAAATACCACAGGTGAAATGGATGTTAAAATAATTTGTCAATTTCCAACCAAGTCAGAATCTTTTGGAAAAAGATTCACTCACCGCCGCGTGGAGGCAGTTTATCAACGGAGTCGAGAAAACGATTGAAATCACTGACTTTTTTGATTCACAACATTTTTTTATTTAACCAATTTCAAATTGCTAAATGCAGCTAGTCAAAGGCAGCTGAGTCTCTTGTGTGATAGCAACAGTATACAGCAAATGTTGCGTACATGATTCTGTAATCTAGACCGTTTAAAGGAAATGGATGTTGCTGTTGTCGTCGCTGTCCCCAGATTGGGACCCAAAGTGCTCTGTTGACTAACTGGAATTATTAGGCTACTTTCAACTTCAGTTTTTGACATCCGCAGCATTTTGCTGAAAGTCCTCGTCTCAACGGCTGTCCCACAGGAGCCTAACAACAATACGTTTAGACCGTAGGATTATCAGGAAAATGTTAACTGACGTTATGAGATTTAAAGCAGCGTAATTTTCCCACATATTTTCTACAGGTCCTTTTGTGATCACAGTTTTCAACCATGCTCATTTCTTTTATGCGGTCTATATTTTACACACTTTTACACACAACAGAGCAGTCTGTGTGCATGTGGGTCTGCTTATCAGAAACAGGTTAAAATTAAAAAAAAAAAAAAAAAAAACTTTGACCAATGACTTCCTCTCTTCTGGACAACGTAACACATTACAAACACGTTCTGCTTATTCTCAGTCTTGCTGGCATTCGGTAAACTCGTGCCACGTATCTTGTTTTTCGGAGGATATACTTGAAGAAGCACGGTAGCGTATTTTTACGGATGTATTCGGACATGCCATTTTCCTCGCCACAGCTTTTGACGACATCATCATGTGAGCTTGCTGACGATTGCTTGGTTCAGAGAGTTCAGCTGATTTGTCCATTTGTCTAAAGCTGTGTAGCGAGCTCCTCCCCTCTTCTGGTAGTCCAGTTCTAGTAGCTGGTTCACTTGGTCAATTCGGCCATGGATTGTGCTAAATATTAAAAAAGAAAAAAGAAAGTAGGACAAAAGAACCAATCAGTGCATTGGAAAGATAGAACAGATCACATTTACAAACTTTTTATTCAGAGTCAGACTGAGAAGAAGGTTATTGGTCCATGCAAAATGTTAAATATTTTTTGTTTTTTCAAAATAAAACAACACAGAAATGACTCAATGACAAATTCATTTAGCTGCAAATATATAATAATAAATGTCAGTAACAATTATGCAATCTTCCTCAGTCAATCATGTTGCTAAAAACTGAGATTTCACCGTAATTGTATTTTTAATTTTTTTATATAAGTATTTCTGGTTGTGTAAAAAAATGTAGTTCTCTCAGTGTAAATACACAAAAGTACTTCCAAATGACGACTCAAATGATTGTTATTATTATTAATCACAGAAAAGAAATTCTCCAATATTTGTGTTTGCTCCGACTGAGTACAGCTCAGTTCACCTGGAGCCAGAGTTACGTGAATTATGAGAAACAATTTACAAGAAGGAAGTGTTGGTTTTTTATTCTTTCTTTATGTCAGATGATTCACTCGTCATGTGAGGGAGAAACGTACTTATCCAAGATGCACTGCACCAGCAAACTCTCCACATCACACACGTCAATATTTAGCTCCTGAGAAAAAAGGAAAGTAAGAAAGTTTGACATAAAATGTTTGCAAAAATTTAGGATTCAAATCAACAACATATTTCTACATGTTATTATTATTTCAAGAATTAATTTCTTGACATTGCAAATAATCATTTAATGTCAGTACATTAAATATTTACTCAACAACATATTTCTACATGTTATTATAGTACATTAAATATTTACATGTATTTACAGGGAAAAATATCAACTTCTGATGTCATCGTTCTGTAAACCTACCTTAGAAATGAACGGGATGTGTATTCTTGTGTATGGCTTAATGAGTTTGATAAGTACTTGAGTTCTAATGTTCCGCAGGAGCTCTGCAATGTAAAAAAAAAAAAGAGATCAGATGAGATCAGTCACTTTTCTTAAATTCTTCAGTACGAGGTGGACCACGGTGGAGTCGACTCACCCTCTATGTGCTCTCTAATGAAGGGGTCGTCCATTATGTTACTGTGATTTGTTTTCAAGATTTTCTCAAACTCGGTGATGTCGTTGTTTTGGTAAGCACTGGAAAAGAAAGATGACCATGACTCAACCTGTGTCTGTGTGAGAGTTCAAACATTACCGTTCAAATATTACCTATACTGTGAGTAATGTACCAGTACAAGTGACAAATTTAATTTTTAGAAGTTAGTTCCATTGTTTATTTTGCACTACTCATATTAATGTACTTGGGATTTACTATTTTATTATTTTATTCTCTGCCTGTCTGCTGTAATACAAGATTTACCCCAGTGTGTGATCAATAAATTCGATCGAATCCAATCTAATCTCTTTGCTCAAATTTCAAGTTTAGGAAATAAAACACCCTTTAAAAAATATCAATAGAACCACTATACTGTACCACAGTGTTTACATTCTTCAATTCCCACCACTGTGTTTACGTTAGTATCTAAAAAAAAGGCTTCTTTTATGTAATCTTATACAATTCTTCAATTCCCACCACTGTGTTTACATTAGTATCTAAAAACCTTGACTTATTTTATGTAATCTTATACTGAATACTTTAAAAAAGTAAAAAGAAGATTTTTTTCTTCTTCTTTGTTTCTTCACCTGTCCTGACGTCAGGCTGCACACTTGATTCAGAGCTAACCTGCTTTAATAGTTGGCACTGTTTTCTTTAATGCTCTTGTTGATCCAATGACGCAGCATTAAAAGCTGCGTCACCTTCATCACCTTCATCACACCCAGTGTGCTGAGGGCACGGCACCACACACCTCAGGTAAACCAGAGCATAAGGTCTGGTTTAGGACAAGCTATAAATAGCCATGTCATGAGTTACAACAGTGTCAATAAAACATGAAGGCCAACCACTGGAGTTCAATGTCCAATAATAGTCTATCTATCAATACAAAGGTGGACTTGAATAAATATGTGCACGTTTGTACGTATGACACTAATGAGTACTATGTCATAATATTGGACACAATGAACATTGTCGTGAAATTTAGATACATTGTTTTCCACCAAACTTCAATATCAACCCTTTATAATTCAACAACACTCACCTTACTAAGTTTGTCATTGCCAGGATCTCAGGATCATTTTTGTAGGGTTTGGCCTTTAAACAAAAAAATAAAATGAATCTTTGCCCAATAAGCACAAAATGTATATTTACATTTCCAGGTTTATTCTAGCAACACACACTAGAATTGTCCATTCATTAAATGTAAAAAGACTGAATCATGTCTTCAGTTCACACCTGTTTTACAATCTAGCTACAGCTCTTTATTTTTGAGACTACGTCAAAAACATTTCCATACCTCCTGAGAGTCAAACGGGTTTATTCCCGACTTCATCAGCATGTTGGCTAGAACCAGGTACTTCAGGCAGGTTGTCCTCCTCGGGCTTCCTGACTCGTCGTAGTTTTTAAAGGCCTCAAAGAAGTCCGTGTGAGCCTTCTCAAACTCACCCTCTCTCAAGTGCATTTTACCCCCACACTCTGGTCAGGGGGACAGGATGGGGACAAAGCAGATTGTGACTCAGTAAACAGACATGAAACTTTTAGAGAAAGAACACAAGCTGAACATACCTCTAATCACTCCCATGATGAGTGGGTGAGGAATGGCAGATTTAATATGAAGTGACTGCTCATAAAGGGCTTTTAGTTTCTTGTTGTTCTTCTGTGCCGTGTACATCTGGATCTCCAGAGCGTAAATCTCCAGCAGCTGTGTTCCTTTTTTCAGATCATCCTCTCCGTCATCCGTCTGTGGACAGACACGCAGCGACAACCCATGATGTCTTTCATCAACGTTTTAGATCCTCTACAGCACAATAATGTGCACATTAAATGCAGCGAAGGATTTACTTGAAATACCTGACATGACTGGTGAAGTTGTCTTAGGATCTTCTGCAGTTTTCCATATTCTTCTCTCTCCAGGTACAGCTTTCCCAACTAGAAGGAAATGACAGTAAATTTGATTTTCAAACTCATGCGGGTGATGATGTAACCCAGAATCAGAGGAGAATTCTTCCATACCTTTGTGTTAGTTTTGAACCATAGTCTGTCATTTTTGGCATCTTTCAATGCCTCTAATGTGGTTTCGTAGAATTCCTGCAGCAAGTCCATCTAATAACAAAGACACACAGCATTTAAACCTATGTCCACGTTACGTTTTTCTACAATTTCCAGACATTGTAATGACTCGGTACATAAACTGTCAGAGATACCAGGCCTTGTTACTGGTGTGTTGAAATACAAAAAAGACTAAATGTGTTTCCACCAGGGTTGATGTAGATGACAACATGTTGAAGGTGTTACGTACTTTGAAAATATCTTCCCCTTTCTTTGACTGTAAAGCAAGCATCGAGGAGAAAAATAAAGTAACACTGTTAAATTTGGACTCATTTAGTAAGAATGTAAACTCACTTCCTGTTGAAGTACATGTTAATAGCCAGATGATAATTTCATAGTACTCCATGGGGAGGTAATACTCCATGAGCATTAGTTGACTATCTGTACCTCAACTGTGGCAACTGATGAAGTATGGAAAACATCAAGACAACTTACAATGCAATAGTCTGTTTTAAAAGTGTTATTTTATTCTGAAAATCTTTTATAAACTTTCTATTTTGGGTTCTAACTGCACATAACTTTTGTGACAAAGTAAGTATCAAATTAAAAGTAACCTCAGACCTCTGATTACTTTGTTATAAATGCCATGTCATTTTGTGGTCATACCTGTTTGGAGGTAGAGATATAGTCCAGAATGGAATTGATGGACTTTTCTGAATAGTTCCTTGTCACAGCACTCCGAATATACGTAAGGAGCTGTTTATACCTGTTCATCATCTCTGGAAAGTTTGTCTGCCAAGGTGAAGCACACAGAATAATACATTTCACACCTCAAATAAATTCTGCTGGGTCAGTAATAATGCGATGATGGTATTATGTACATAACATACCAGCTTGAAGTTGATTTTGATCATCTGTTTCAAAGCTTTAAAACCCCATTCTCCCTTCTCTCCCTCGAGCTCCAACACCTGTGAATAAAACGATTAAACTGTGTTTCAGCACCGTGGAAAACCAGGCACAAAAAAACTGAATGGAACTAATCTGCTGGTGATGGAAGTTGACAACATTTGAATTTGTTTGTTTACAAGGTTATAGAAAATTACCCAAATTCTAACTCAATATATAATACTATTACTTCTTTTTCTGACATTCATAATTATTCATTCTGTGTAAAGTGGGCAGAACTAAAACACTTGGGGGACCAACAACGATGTCTCCTCTAATAATATTTGACAGTAGTCAATCATATATACAGCGCTGTTTACCGTTCAGTAACGTAAATTAAAAGCCTACCTTTTGGAAACTGCTGAGTGCTGCCTTGGGGTCATCCTCCTTCAGGGCTTTTGAGTTGTAGTACTGGTTCTCCAGATCCACATTGGGCTCTGAATTACTGTCTTCTGAATATTCCTAAGTTCAAACATGTGCATGTCAGAGCAGTGTTAGCAAAATACATTACATTAGTTCCCACTTGTAAGCTAACGCTAGGTTACCCAAAACAACAACAACCTAGTCGAGCCACACAGAGTTGAATGTCTCCAGAATAAACTTAAAAACACCCGGACGAATATTAAGAGCAGACTCGTTAACAGCATGAATTAACCAAGTACATCTGAGCTAGTGTTATGTTAGCCAGCTAAGAAGCTAAGAACAGTCATCGTCTCATTGGTATTAGCCGACACGCTAACTAGCCTGATGGCTAACCTGGTAAACTAGCACACATAAGCCTAGAAATTAGAAGAGCAAAGCAGAAAGCTCCAGTTGAGTACCAGGTCGTAATCCTCTTCATCGTCGCACATAAAATCATCTTCCATGTCAGACATTTTGGCGATCGCGGCCTGTGTGTGGCGCTGCAGCCGCGGTAAGGTGGTAGGGTCCGCGATCCAAAAGGAGCAGGGTGGCGTTTCAGACCATAGATGGCGCTATAGGATCGTCACAGGTTAGAAAGGGCTACTCAAGATTTAGGTAGGATATTTCTTTACATTTAATCTTTAAAACAAAGGGTTTGAGTTATCAATATTATCAATTATGGGGTTAGTAATTATGAGATTATGAAATAATTTGCTTTCGTTATACACGCCATAACGTACAAACAGCAAAAAATTAATAAATATGCTACTGACCTGTTCAGACATCAATTTCAGTCATAATAAAACACAGCATTAAATAATAATAAGAAAAAAAAAACGAGATTCTCGATAAAAAACTCAACGGTGAGTGTTAGTATTACTAATTATTTATCAAATTTACTGTGGATCTCAATCTACGGTACGCATACAACTAGTGGTAGTTGGGCTCCCTCTCGTGGCAACATTTTAATGTGTAGATAATTCAGGTTTAAGCAATCAGAAAGTCGTGGTTATTTGGATTAAAGGCTGAAAAGTGTCACAACAACGAGGCGTCCACGGGTCACAGTAAAGCAAGATGGAGGTTCCCTTCTCGTCTGGACCAGGAATGGTGGTCCCACATAGAATCTTATTTTATGATTCCAAAAATGTACGCAAGAGTTAAGAGTTATGTGTCACTGGTTTATTTCCCAAAACTGATGACTAAACATTTGAAGACTCACCTCTATCATCAGTGGTCAGTTTACCATAATATTTATAATATCCAGGCATGATTCACCAGCACGGACACCAGAGGGACACTTAGCACTGATGGGAAACTCTAACGGCACTCAGGCGCCTTGGAATATTATCAGTAATGCAGGTGCGTGTATTCACATCTGTCACAGACAGCACACTTTCCTTGGTCAAATTATCTTTTATATTTGCACTGACAGATTTACAGCATCTCTTACACGTAGATGGCAGTGTAAGAGATGCAATAAATCTGAGCGTGCTGCGGGTGTCTGTGGGTTTGACGTAGAAACCAGAGTATTCTAATTGCCCTGCATTTGCCCTGTTGACTCGTGCACACCCATTTGTTGGCATGCATCAACACAGACACTAGACAAATGAGGAGGACTTCATTAATGGGATTAGCAACATCACAAACACTGTGGTACGGGAGACGCTCAGATGCTGACCCACCATTGGTCATCGACAACCAGACAAACACGAGTATTGATGTCAGCGTCTGTCAACATGTCTGTGGCATTTTAATAGTGTGAGGCAGGAGATGCTGTCGTACCTATGGTGAAAGAGCTGGTAATTCAGCAAAATCACGCAGAAGCATTCCATTCATTTTGTTAAATTATGAAGCCGGTGATGGGCCGCACAGTGGATGAGTGGTTTGTGCTCTAGCCTTACAGCAGGAAGATCATCAGTTCAAGCCCTGGTTCTTCTGTATGAAGTTTGTGGGGGGCCGCACAGTGGATGAGTGGTTTGTGCGCTTACCTTACAGCAAGAAGATCATCAGTTCAAGCCCTGGGTCTTCTTTTTAAAGTTTGTGGGGTTTTTTCCAGGTATTCTGGTTTCCCTCCCACAGTCCAAAAACATAGGTTAGTTGTTGACAATTGGTGTGAATTTGAGTGTAAATTGTTTGTTGAGGTAACATGTCAACTGTTATGATTAGCTCTGGACTCTAGAGGCACCCTATTTTTTTCACATTAAAATGCCCTGGTAGTGACAGGTAACTTCTATATTTGGGGGTATATCTTTAAAGACACATTTTTATTTTCTTTACAATGTAAAACAACACTTTTGATTGCACTTTTGTTCATATAGACCAGGCCTGGACAAACTATGGCCCGGGGGCCGGATGCGGCCTGTTCACCTTTTAAATCCAGTGGTCAAAACTTGTCCAAATAATATATTTGATTTATATTAGCAATACACCCTGCAATGCCTGCGTTTCCCAAATAGATGGCGTAGAAGAGGCTAAAAGCATTTTAGCATTTTAGCCTTAAGGCATGACTTTCATATTTTAATATCTTGGTCCACATGAACGCTCCATCCCCCTGGTTCAATTCTAGGACCACTTGTGGCCTGCGAATCAGAGTTTGCCCACGCAAACGTACTTTCCACATTTTTCTTTGAATTCCTAATTGAATTTGAACAACACAGCGAGGTGATTTTGGGATTTATCATGCAAGTTTCATTGTAATTAGGTACTTGTACTGCCCAGCACTAACAACAACCTTAAATACAGATTTGAATGTTGTGTTTAACTCTGAAAACATGTCTGTGAAGCCCGTCATCTCTCAGTTACCCTTGGATGAATAATTTTACAGTATTTATCCACTTGTTTTAGCCTCTTGGCATAAAGAGATGAACTGACTTTCATAATAAGTTTGAATATGAGCTGCCAAAAACTCTTTTACGCTGAACCTAATGACCTGTAGTGCATTAATATAATCTTATATCTGACAGTTCCTTAAACATGAGACGTGAGCCTTTAATGCAGCTCCAGCAGGGCATCTGGCGGCGGAGGCCTACGCACTTCTCTCAGCAGGCTGTCGGTGTGTGTGCTCTCCACAAATGGCTCTCAACGACCGCGCTCTCACACCACGGCGCTAATCCTGTCTGCACCGCCGCCAAATCTCCTGTAGATCATTACTCACGCACACTCCCAAATGCAACCTCATCACACATACGTTAATTCACGTACTGTGTATACAGCAAGTGGTGGTGGTGGTGTGTATTCAAATATATATGGTACACACCTGCTTCATCGTGTCTGCCTCTGAACTGACATCACATTCAAATGCCCCGAAAACCTGCGCTGCTGCCAACCCACTCCAACCCGCCCTCAGGTCGTCATAGCTCACTTTTCACTTCTCAACTTGTGCAGGATGCGTGACTAACCATTTTGTTTTTCCCTTTTTGTTTTTTTTTTAATGCCGTTTCAATTTTTTTTACAAGGTATGTAAAAGCGTGTCTCTATTTTTTGCAGCAGCTTCCATCAAGTGTTATTTACAGATGAAATCCAATTTCCAAGATCTGAAACAGCCGCCTAAGCCAAGTCCACACGCACGCACGCCTTCTGCATCACACGCTAGAATCATGTGGTATGTGGGCTGGGACGCTGGGTGTTGGGCCATGTGAAGTGTTTGTGTGTAATAATCGTAAGAGGAGTTAGAAAAATCTGGCAAACCAAACTTATTTAAAACAGATTTGATAGTGTAAAAAAAAAACCCCTCAGGGACAACAGCTCTGCCTCTGATCGCGAGCTAAGTGGCTAACACATGCACCTCATTGTAACACATTTATTACAGCGCATTTACAAATGCATTTGTTAAACTAGAAGCAAGTGCTGTGACTTCTCTTTTCTTAATATTTCTTTTACATGTGTAAATTGCAATTATCAAATTGTGAACTTAAACATAGCCAAGTGCAGAGAATAGCTCGTTAGCTTAGTTGCAAAAAAAGTACAATTTTCTCAATGTATTAGCCAAAAAATAGCAAAATTTACACAATTTACAGTTAGCATCATAAGAACAAGCCATTTTTATTATATCAAAGCATATCTAAAAAAAAAGTAGGAAGAAAGAAACTAAATTTGGAACAAGCTAAACTTTTGCGTTAGCATTTAGCTAGAATGACAAAAAATAAAAACATCTACCCAACAATAAATGACAGTTAGACCAGAAAGAGTTCAAAGTTAGTTCGTTAAAGTTAAAATGGCTAATGTAATACAAAAGTTTGACACATTAGCCAAAAATTGTAATAAATGCTACTAAAATAGATACTTGTATATATTAATTATGTAGTATGTCAGTAATTATCACTGGTGGCCCGCAGGCCAAATCCTGCCCAACTAAAACATCCAATCCGGCCCGTGACTTGATGTCAAAAAATAAACATCAAATAATAATGTTAGACAAAAACGTGACTTTTATTTAACTTATTTGAGTGTCTGATTCTAAAAGTGTCTCTCTAGAAGAAATTCTGGAGCATCGACAAATGTAGTAGGTGGTCTCCCTTGGTGAGCTAAAAGGTAGCCCTAGAACAGCTAAAGATATGCCTTGTGACATTAATATAATGTAAAAAGCCCCAAAAAACCTCACCTTAATTTGTGAAGTGTAATGGTTAACTTTTCTAGCCAGAATATTGAACTCCCTTCCATGTCAGAATATAATTTAACATAAGGACAGGAAGAAACGGGGAACCTCCCTCCCTGGAGGAAAACCCTCCTTGATTACCTTCAAAGCTCGTTCGACGTGCTACATCTTGTTCGACCGATTCGTGCCAAAACCAAAGTGTAAAACTGCAGGTTATATTGTGGGGTTATGTTTCAGACAAATCCTCGGTTAGCTGATGAAGATTAGCCTCACGGAGGGCACTGAAAATTCCTGTTCCTGTTCCCAGTGAACCACTGCGTTGAGGATGAGTTCACGCCTTCGTGAGACACAACAAGTGACATACCTGTGGTCAGAGTTCTTCAACTCCAGGGTTAGGGTTGAACAATGTCCTGTGTGAGTAAATGGTATTTTATAAGGTCAAACAAGCCGTGAGGTAGAGTCAGCCACTGCAGCATTTCTCAGCCGATTTGTAGCAGATAAAAATAAAACCACACATGGACTTCAACTCAGTCTGGCATTTCTGTCAGGCTCGGTACGAGGAGTGTCTCCAAAATACCTCCAAAATCACCTCTCACGTTCTCTCTTCCGTGTTTCATCCATTGCTTTGATCAGACAGATTCTGGTTCTCAGGGGCCAAACCTTCAGTCCAACAGCCGGGGTCAGACTACAGGAGTGCTATCTGTTTGTGTGTGAGGTAAACCAGACCTGACCAGTCCTCAGTTGCTGTCTGTGGATGGATTTCTGACCCTAACTGGTATTTTTGTTGACCCTTTAAAACTATCACCCTCACGAGAGTTCAGTTGACTTTAGCTAGCTTTACCAATCATGTAATCCATGACAGCTAATCAGTCTGTTCAGTCAT